CTGGGTGCTGCAGTGTTTTGACAGACGGTCCCTTGAGCTTGGTGTTTTGACAGACAGTCCCTGTGAGGCTGGGACCTGGTTCAGGCTGGCCGGGAAAGAGAAGCAGGGACAGGATGAGAGAGTGGGGAGTAAGAAGGGGAGGGGAGGGGGGTGCGGCTTCGGAGATGGGCTTTGCAGGAGGCCCCATGTGACCCTGTGTGATGTGCAGGACCCCCTGACCTCTGTCTCAGAGTTCAACCAGAGAGAAGGAAACAGCAGGAGATATCTATTTCGAGATTTTCTGGAAGGAATTGACCCACACGACTGTGAGGGGTGGCTAGGCTGACATCCACGAGGGGCCAGCGGGAGGGCCAGCCATCAGGACTCGAGGGCACGGGGGCGGGCACTGCTGTCCACTGGTGGAATCTTCTTCCTCCTCAAGGAAGCCTCGGCTCTGTGTTCAGGGCTTTCAACAGATGAGATGAGACCCACCCAAATTATCTAGAAGCCCCTCCCTCAAAGTCAGCCCTCTCCCAGCAGCACCGGGGTTCGTGTTTGAGCAAATGCCTGCGACTGCAGCCGCCACCACATGACACGTCAAACCCCCACACCCCACTCCCTCAGGCCTTCCTCCTCCTTCACATGAAGTGACTACCCTGGGAAGTACAATGTTCTTTTCCTCCTGAAAATGTGTAAGAATCTCACAACTTCTGAAAAGCAAATCTCCCAGAGCTGTGGCCTCCTAACAATGTCACGTTTCTATCAGAGCCTCGGGGCAGCCTCTGTGCTCAGACTTGGTCGTGGTCCGTGTTGATTCACTGACCAAATGCCTCAGTTCAGTCTCAGCTACGTACCGTTTCATCCTCACAACCTTCAGTAATTTCTCTGCTCATCGACAAAGTGTATCTAGTTGCCAAGAGTAGCTTGTAGGCATTCTTCATTAAGGTGTTAGGGGAAAAGTAACGATGGTATGTTTGGTTGGTTGTTTCTTAGAGACAGGATCTCACCATGTCGAATGAGAGCAAAGAGCAACTTGGCAATAATTATATTGTTATGCAGGTTGGGTATTCCTAATCAGAACATCTGAAATCTGAAATGCTCTAAACCCTGAAATTTTTTGAGCACCTAAATGACATCACAAGTAGAAAATTTCACACACGACCTTATGTGAGGGGTCACAGTCAAAATATTGTTTCATGCACAAAATTTTTTAAAATCTCTTATAAAATTACCTTCAGGCTATGAGTATAAGATTTATATGAAACATAAATGAATTTTGTGTTTAGACTTGGGTCCCTTGTCCAAGATATCTCATTATATATATGCAAGTATTCCAAAATCTGGAAAAATAATGCATGAGATTATAACACATAGCACTTACGTTCTAGCACTATATGCTGTTTAGTGCTCACAACACCCCATTTGCAGACAACAAAACTGAGGCACAGAACTCCTAACTGACTGAACCAAGGTCGCAGCTTCTAAGTACCAGGAGCAGGATTTGAACTTGGGCACTCTGGCTCCAGAGTCCAGGCTTGTAACGACAGCAGTGGAAGTGCTACACACTGGCCACTTGAGATAGTTCAATGTTGGAATCTTTGCTGCATCACCCAGGACATTTTCTTGTGGCCCTTAAATGTTTTACATAATCAGGGGGACTCTTTCTGCCCATAAATGAAAATCCACTCAAAGGATTTGGGTTTGGCTCCACTGGCAAATAGATTGATTCTAGCAAGTACCGGGACACAGCTGCCAGCCAGGGTCTTCCACGGGCACTGTGGATGCCTGTCCGTGAGTGATCTACTCTCCACAGTAGCCAGGCCCTGAAGGGACAGTTGGATTGGGGACATCATTCCCTGCCTTTCAAGCCCAAGGCCAGTGGCCCTGGCCAGGGAGCCGGAACCATCTTCAGAGTGTGGGAGCTGCTGCCCCAAATGCTTCTGCTTACAGAGCCCAGCAAAAACGATCTACCTGCAGTCCCCGTCCCTCCTGACGGATGCTGGGACTCGAGGCTTAAATGTCCTCATGTGTTCTTTCCTCTCCCACTTCCAAAAAAACTGATTTGTCATCTTCCAGAGAAAGTTGTGATTAATGGCAATCCTCAAGTGCCTGCAGTTTCTTAATCATTGCTTTCTTTTACGAAAACATCTTTATAGCCACCTTCAGAATGTAGTTAGATTCAAGCAGTTTGGAAAGATTTTCTGGAGAGGCAAGACAAAAAAGGTAGTTAACTGCAGATGGCCACACCTGTGTCCTTCCATCAAGCCACTGTGTTTTCCCATCGCCTCGGCAGGAATGCTAAAATACCAAGTCTGCTGGAGTGCCCTGCATTTTTCTACCTGACGAAATAAAGTCAAGGCCCTGCTAGGATTCCTAGCAAAAACAGAAGGAGTGGAGAGGTCAGAAAATTATTCCACTTCTTCAGCTCCCCCAGATGTGTCTGCCAGGCAACACATGCTTACAGTTCGGGAGAAATACAGTGAGCCAGTGCTTCTCAAGGAGTTGTCTGGGGAGCTCATTAAGATGCAGATGCTGATTCTCTGGGTCTGGGTGGAGCCTAAGAGGCTGCATTTCTAACAAGCTCACATGCGATACCAACACAGCAGGTTCACACACTACAGTTTAGGCAGCAAAGAGTTAGGGGCCACACCGACCACTTACGTATAGGAGAAGATTGAGAGAACCTTTGGAAGAAAAACTATGACCATTTAATCATTGTCATATTGACAGTCACACTAAGAGATATGCCAGCCACAGCAATTCACTTGCAGCAAGGGGAGACTGAAGCCAGACTGGCCCAGCAAGGGACCATTTTCCCTGCTCATCTGCAAACCTAGAACCTGGTCTGGGAAGTGGCCTCATGATCCCTTGTGTGACATCACATCAGTGTAGATTAGGATGTGGGGTTAGACATCCCAAAGGGGGACTCCGGTAAAAGAAGTGTAGTTGCAGATATTTTCATTGTATCATGTCACTAAATTAAAGAGAGGTATTGAAGAGAAAAACAGCAAGCAATATATATATGTCTGCTGTACCAGTAAACCATTGATACGACACCATCATGCTATTTCCACATTATCTCTTTGACTTTGTTTAAAGGCTACCTGGAAGGCCAAGTGCTGAATTTCTTTATCTGATACCAGCCCATGCCGAGCTTCCAACACTGAATTTACCATGGCTAATGTAGATTTCTGGTTTCCATAGCAGCCAATTTACTGCTTGTGCTTAATAAATGAAAACAAGACCTACAACTGTTAGTCTTTTCTTAAAAGACCTTGTTTTCTTTATTGTTTGTAAGAGCAGAAATGCCAGATCTGGACCCTGCTAAGTAGTGATCTTTTAAGTGAACCTGACCTATGGTACCAAAAGGAACAGCATGGCAGCAAATGGCCAGGAGTGAGCCATTTAATCTTGTTTTCCTAATTAAATGGTAGAAGCCTCTTTATAAGCAATCATCAGTGAAATCTGGTTTCTCTCTTGTTCACTGATAGCTATGATGATGATCTGTTTGCTTGTGGCTGAGCAGGAATGGAAATTCTGATGGCATTAGTATTTTTTTCCAGCAGATGAACTGCTGTAGGAATTGGCGGGCATAGCACCCTCTCCTTGTTAGGGCTGGTGATATCCTTGTAGCCAAGCATAATTCATCTGTTCTGTCTCTAGTCTGCTTCCCTTATTGCCTTCTGACCTCCTACCTCTGCTGTGGTCTCTAGACAGCCAGCAGATGAGCCGTCACAGCTGATCCATGAAGCCCACCGTCCGAACAGCCTCCAACACACAGGCATAAAAGTGGTCTCTCTGAAGGGTCTGTCTTCTTCCTCCTCCTTCTTCTTCTTCTTCTTCCCCCTCTTCCTCCTTCCTCTTCTTTTTACCTTATGTTTAAAAGAGCGAGCAAGCAAGCAAGAAACCTTTAGAGAATACTGCGTATAGCAGGAGAATAGCAAATAAGCATACATGCTCTGTAGGGAAATATATATATACATACACACACACACACACACACACACACACACACATATATATATATAAAACTCAGCTGCTTTTTCTACTAGGGCTTTCATTATGGTGATTCATGTAGGAGGTCTGTATTGGTTGTCACTTGGGTGCCACAGATTAAAGTTTTCTGATCATCTTTTTGACTCAAGGTCAAAGTAAAAGAATAGATTCTTGCAAATAAGAGGGGCCATGGTCCCCCTCTATTCAGTGGGCATTTGTAGAAAATAGATACTGTTTTTGGTTTTGGAGCTACAAAGATGAATTAGACATGGGCCTTGCCCAGGGGAAGTTGTCCAATAGGGACAGAGAAAGGATGCGCGACTCAACCGTGTTGCAGTAGCCCACAGAACTCCCACATGGAGAAGGGGCTTTGTGGTAGGGTCATTGCTGTATGATCTGAGTCAGCCTTATTGTTGGTTTTTGTCTTGTTTAATAGACAAACTGGGACTCAACTCAGTCTCCCTCCGTCTCACAGTGTGAGTAGGTTGCCTGGAGCTCGGACTGCTCAAGGAGCCCTGGAGTGAGAAGCAGAAGAAGGGGCAGGTGGTGCCTGTGGGTGGGAGTGAGTATATGGACATGCCTGGTATCCTGTCTAGAGGTCGAGATGGCCCCTGATACGGCATCATGGACAGGAAGGAATGGCAACAGGATGGGCATGAGGGGGGAACGTGCTGGACAGCAAGCTCAGTGACGTCTGGAGAGCAGAGGAAGCGGGAACAATGGGTGATCTGTCCCATAGGCAGCACCGTTTCCTGGTTTCTGAGCTAAACTCCTCTGAATTATAGCATCCCTTTGTCGTCGACTAGCCCTGTGGCCTTGAACCACCATCTCGATTCCCTTCCCAGTTGGAGCCTCAGTGTGCCCATAAAACACTGGCACACCACATAGGGCACTTGTGGTGGGCAGCAGATGAAAACAATTTCAGTCATCGGTGGGTTGAGCAGTGCACTGGCCCAGGTGCACCCAGGACTCCTCGGGCTGTCGAGCGGGGCACTCATCTCTCTCTCATTGGTTCTGTGTTCTAGGAATAGAGCTGTGCCCCCCTGGAAAACGGTTCATGATTACGATGGTGGCGAGCTTCGTGGCTATGGCGGGCCAGTTCCTCATGCCCGGGCTAGCCGCCCTGTGCCGGGACTGGCAGGTGCTGCAGGCCCTCATCATCTGCCCCTTCCTGCTCATGCTGCTCTACTGGTCGTGAGTATCCTCTGCACAGCGCGCTGGGCTGGTGCGTCTGCACATGCTTCCTGAAGGCCCAGCCCCGGGCAGGACACAGGATCCCCACACTTCCCGCTAGTTTCAGCTTGTGGTTCTGTCTGAGAAGGTTTTCCTCTCTTTTTAAAAAATGTTATTTTTTGAACTTTCTGTCTTGGAAAAATGTTCAAATATACACAAAAGTAGACAGAAGAGTGGAATGAATCCCCCGTGCCCTTCACCCAGCTCCAAAAATCTGCAAATCCACTGGCCAGTCTGGCTTTACAACTACTTGCTACCCACCCCACAGGGTTATTCTGACATGAATTTTTATAAATGGATTTGCAGGGAGGTGGGGGTCTTGTGTTAGGAGGGGGAAATTGGAGATATTAAAGGAGTGATTTAGAAAAGCCTCCCTATCTCTTCTAGGTGAGGGGTGGGCAACCTTCAGCCTGTGGGTCACATTGGGCCCACTGTCTGTTTTTGTAAATAAAGTTTTATTGGAACACAGCCATGCTCATGTGTTTACATAGGTATTACCTATGGCTTTCTGGCTATCCACAGAGTTGAGTGGATGCAGCAGGATGGTATTATATAAAGTTGAAAATATTTACTATCTGGTTCTTTACAAAAAAAATAGCTTGCCCACCCCTGCTCAGTATCAGTCCAATATGCCTTTTTGAACTGTGGGTAACCTTAAGTCTTTTGAGTTGCTGGCTTCCGGGCAGGGGACAGGGGGGAAGGCACTAAACACACTGGTAAAGGGGGTTTGACGTGGGCAACTGGGTTTTTTAAAGAACTCTCCAGGGAATTAATGTTGAGTCAAGACTGAAAACCACTGCTCCATGGATAGAGCAATGTATACCCTGAAAATGATTGTTTTCCCCTTTTGTAAATGCTGTTTCTCTTCCTTTCCCAAACTTCCTTCCCATCCCCCTCCATGCTGATACTCTCACCTTACCTATAAGTAGATTATGGATGTGACCCTGTGTTGCTACTGTTTAGTCAACAATGAAAACCAAATTTCTGGCCATGCAGTCAGTCTTATCCTTGCTTTAAGGGTTCAGGGGAGCTGAGCTTCCTTTGCTCAGGTGCCTGGGAGGGAAGAAAGCATCTATCTTTTGGCTTAGTGGTACTGCCTCCCCGCCCCTGCCCTGGTAGTAGATGCCC